TACTGTTTATATTTTTTATATAACTTAATTAGGAAATATAAAAGGTAAAATAAAATAAACTCATAAATTATGCTCTAATAAGACATATTAAAAAAATCAAAATAAAATAAATTTATTCTACCCTTGCAACACTCTGCTGTGGATATGATGCTGCTCTACTAAGGCAATTCCCTAATTTCTCCATGTTAAACAAACAAATTAATAAATAAACTACAAACGGTTGAGTTGAGATTCATGGAGGAGAGGATCCTAGGAGTGGCCTTGTTGAGATAAAGCTAAAGTTGAAGGGCGATTGTTCCAAGCAGTCATATTCCCTGCTTTTGCCATCTTTTTAATGCTCTATTTTTCCAATTCTTCATTCAATCCACACTGGAACTTCAATTCCAATTTGTTCTCTCCTTTTTTTTCTTTTTTCTTTTTTTGTACTATGTTTTTCCTTTCTTAAATTCTCAGATTTTTGACCATTGCTTTTTTCTCTACGTCTCTCACTCACCCTTCCTGACTGTTACTTTTAAATTCGTAACTATCAAGTCTTGCAACTTTCCAGGTTTGCTTTTTAGCCCTTCCTTCTCCTCTTCTGCTTCTCATTTTTAGTTTTTGATAATCAAAAACCGTTGCTCCTTTCTCTTCTCTTAAATTCTCATCTCTAGCTAATCCGATTTTGCATTTTTCATTTCAAATACAAAGTGCATTCTTTTTTTGAACTATGAAATTATTATTCTTTTATTCTTCTCATTTTTGGTTCTTCTTCAATTTCTTTACTAAAGGACATATTGGACTTTGGATGTCTAGGTTCTAGGTAAAATTCCATTATCCTCGGATGCCTTATATTCTTGCACTTTGTTATTGTTGTCATTTTCCTTTTTGTTTAGTGTTTCCCTTTGCACAAATTTAAATTTTGTACCTTTAACTTAACATTAAAGTTTAGAAATTAATGAAAACAACTTAACTCATGTCGGTTAATTTAATTTGTTGATTGTCATTTGAGTCTTTTTATAATTCGTGGAAAACTTTAAAGAAATCTTTATTTCTTTGTCTGTTTTTTTGTGACTTGAAGATTAAGAAAAGCACCTTAGATCTTTTCAAAACCATGTCTTAATACTATACAATCCGATTAAAGATTGTTTTAGCTTGATTTCTCCGATCAAATACTGTTTTTTGTTCAGTAGCCTTGGCACAATCCTCATGACTTTGGTGATAAATACTCAGAACTTCTGTTTTGAAAAATTCAAAGAGGAGGTAAAAGGAAAGTACTGAACATGGGGTGTTCCACATCAAAGCTAGATGATGAGGAGGTAGTTCAGCTTTGTAAGGATCGAAAGCGTTTTATTAAGCAAGCAATAGAGCAGAGAACCCAACTCGCATTAGTGCACATAGCCTATATCGAGTCCTTGAAAAGGGTATCGGCGGCTCTTCGTGATTATGTTGAAGGTGATAAGTCCCCGACGATCTCATTAGAATCATCATTCATTACGCCACCACTCAGGATAGGAAGTTCTCGGTTCAATATCTCAGTTTCGTCCGTGTCCTTCTCACCTCCTGTTATTCAATCTAAGCCAACGTTAAGGGTGAATTACTTAAGGTCAGGTGGTGCTCCAGCAGTTTCAGTTGAGGAGAGGCCTCAACCACCGCAAACAATTTTTCGAGTTGAAACTTACTCGCCAGTGCAACGTTATGGCAATGATGGGTTCTTTGCTGGGCAGTCCTCACCGATGAATCCTTCATACTTCTCTTATTCCCCATATGATAGACCCAACATGCTTCCCCCTTCACCTCAAACATCACAGTGGGATCACTTTTGGAATCCTTTTTCTTCACTAGACTATTTTGTCTATCCAACACAAAGCAGTTTTGATCAGGTTGTGGTGGATGATGAAGTTAGGGGACTAAGACAGGTTAGGGAGGAAGAAGGGATTCCTGATTTAGAAGAAGATGAGACGGAGAAAGAAGAAACTGAGAGTATGGATGATGTGGTAGAAGAAAGAACTAAGAATGAATCCAATTGCTGTAAAGACGATGTTCTGGTTGAAGATGATGATGATGATGATGAGGATGAGGAGGATACAGAGAGCGGATCTGAAAATGACCATGAAGTAGAAGAATTACAATCAGAAGGGAGAACAACCAGAGAAATATCACATGCTCAAACGGTAGGGCAAGTTGAAGTCAGTAACAAGGAAATGGCAGTTGGCGATGATGAAGCCACAAAAGAGACACCAGGTTTTACTGTTTATGTAAACCAGAGGCCAACAAGCATGACAGAAGTTATCAATGATCTTGACGCTCAATTCGTGAAGGTTTGTGATGCTGCCAATGTAGTCTCAGAATTATTAGAGAGCAGCAAGGCTCAGTACACCAAGCCATCAAATGAACTTTCAGGTATGAAATGTCAATTTAGTCTCATCAAATGAATTCAGCTTCAATCATTTCAATAACAGGCTGAATTATTGTTCTTGCAGCCACAAAAATGTTGAATCCAGCAGCTTTAATACGCTCAGCTTCGTCTCGCTCAACATCATCTAGATTCCTAATCAATTCTTCTAATTCAAAAGAGGATGGCTATGAAAATGGCACTGACTTCTCTGATGAATCCTGCATGTTTCCTGGTAGTCATCAAGCAACCTTGGACAGATTATATATGTGGGAGAAGAAACTCTACGACGAAGTCAGGGTATGCTTCTGAAATCAGAGACTGTAATATTTACCTTCTTGTTTTATCAAAGAAGTAATAAATGGAACTTACTCTGTTTGCCTTTCTAAATAGTCGGGAGAAAAGGTTCGAATCGTGTATGAGAAGAAATACAAGCAGCTAAGAAACCAAGATGTTAAAGGAGAAGACCCATTTGCAATCGATAAAACAAGGATGGCAATTAGAAATCTGGATACCCAGACAAAAGTTTCGTTACAGTCAGTTGAAACCATTACTAAGAGAATTGAAGCCTTAAGGGATGAAGAATTGCAGCCTCAACTTCTGGAATTGTTACAAGGGTATGTCACATGGTTTCCAAACTCTATGACTGATGGTTTTGTTTTGTGTGTTATCTGAAACTAATTCTTAAAAAGTGCAGGTTTGCTAGGATGTGGAAAGAGATGGCGGAGTGTCACCAGACACAAAAACGGACCTTAGATGAAGCCAAGATTTTACTAGCAGGTACACCTTCCAAACAGGAAGCAATAAGACGCTCTTCCATCTCAGTAACTGAACCTCACAGGCTAGCCAGATTAGCTGCAAATCTTGAATCTGGGCTAAGAAACTGGAGAGCCTGTTTCAAGTCATGGATCACTTCTCAGCGATCCTATGTGCATGCGCTAACTGGTTGGCTCCTTCGCTGCTTTAGGTTTGAACCTGATATTTCCAAGTTACCATTTTCTCCACGTCGTTCTAGTGGGACCCTTCCAGCGTTTGGACTATGCATCCAATGGTCAAGATTTCTCGATTCCATCCATGAGATGCCAGTGCTTGAGGGGATAGATTTTTTTGCAGCTGGCATGAGCTCTCTACATGCACAGCAGCTAAAGGATGACGGTCACCATGCCCCAATTGGGTCAAAGAGGTTCTCAGAGGAATCCCTAGGGAAAATGGACTTGGTAGAAGGCCATCAGGTAGACGAGGTTATGACTGAAGAGAAGCCGGCCGAAGTTGCAATATGGGTACTCTGTGCTGGAATGTCAGTAGCTATGAATTCACTGAGTGAGTTTTCTACTGCTTCTGCTGAGGGTTATGACGAACTTGTTAACCAATGGGCGAGTGCCGAGCGGCCATGTAATTCCAGTGGTTCTGGTACATAACCCATACTCTTATATTAGATAGTTGTAACGGGCATCTGTAATTATAAACATAGCCTACCATGACAAGGTAATGCAAACTGTAGGGCTACTCATGTAGTTTTGCTTCATTTGGGTGCAAAAGAGAGAAATTCATTAAAAGGGACCAAGGAAGAATGCTTCATGCAAAAGTAAAAAGCAGCAGCACCATGAGTACAAAATATACCACCCAAATAACATCTCCATCTCTAGTGGAAAAGAATGAGAAATTTTCCTTTGTATGGATGTTTAATTGTTTATTTTCCAAAATTTTGATGCAAAGTCACAGAATATCGAATAAAAAAAGGAAAAATTGATCCTCAACATGATGCTTGCCTCGTTGATAATCACAGGGAAAATGGGACACAAGTCGACAGGTAACTGAGGAACTTTCTTAGTTAATCATAGTTGAAGCCTTCATCATCACCCTCAAGCTCAACTTCAGCAGAACCATAACCCATGACTGACAGAAAAAGTAGTACTGCAAGACCCTGTGCTGCCAAAAAGTATTTGGACCTCCATTTAAATTTTTTCTCCTCCTCCGTTTTCTCCCTCTTGGGTTTGCTCTTAGGCTTTGAACCTAATGAAAAGAGAAAACATGTTATTGTAAATGATTTATCCTCTCAAGCTTCCCTCCTAAAAGGTAAACTCCCAAAGACTCCTACAATAACCTAATCAAATAAACAATTAACCTTAGACTACAAAAGTTACAGAAAACTAAAATTCTACCCTTGAATGTGACAATACAAAACTCATAAAATGAAACCTGCATATCTAAGATTTAAATTGCTCAGAAAATAATAATAAATTAGCAGCATATGGCTGCATCACCTGACAGCAACAAACCAATGAAAATAAAATCAAAGAAATTAAGAAGAGAGAAGTATCTTACTCCAATTCGAGGTCTGCCTTCTTGGAGCTGATGAAGAAGGAAATGAGTGTGGCTGTGGGGCAGAAGATGATGAATTGGCCTCCAAAAACTCCATTTTAAGTTTTCCAGCATATCTAACAATATTATCATGCTCCAAGAGTTTGCTGCGAAGCACTGAGGTTTCCTGGTAGATCAGAATGACATGGAACAAGGTCAAAATCCTAGGATAAAAACAGATGGGCTTAGCATGATGTAAATCAGAACCTGTTCATATCATGTTTCCTACTTTATCTTTTATAGCAGTTTATGTAGATCAGAATTATTGGTAATATTAAAATAAGTACCTTGGGACAAAGTTCAAGAATAGAAATCAAAGAGTTGGTTGTGATCATGGTGACTCCCTTGGTGGCAAAAGCTTATTTTTAGCCCTTTATCTTACTAGATTTGTAGGTTTTAGCCCCTCACTTTATACTATGACACTTTTAGCCCTTCACCTATTAGAATTAAAGAAAATAGTCCTCAATTATAATATTTTGTTAGTTCTGTTAGCTGACTGTTAACTCTGTTAGCTGAATGCCAACTGGCAAAAACCTACTTTCAGCTAATAGAGTTTACAAGCAGTTAACAAAACTATTCTGTTATCTGACTGTTAACTCTATTAATTGATTATTACCTGACTATTAGCAGGAAAAAACCTATTTTCAGCTAACAGAGATAATAGTCAATTAACAGAATTAACGAAATATTATAAAGTGAGGGCTATTTTCTTCAATTCTAATAGGTGAGGGGCTAAAAGTGTCATAGTATAAGGTTAGGGGTTAAAACCTACAAACCTAGTAAGGTAAAGGGCCCAAAGTAGGTTTTTGCCCTCCCTTGGCATCCTAATTCTCTTCAGATTCTAATAATTATCAATGGACTCCAGAGACATCCCATCACACAAGATGCAACCAAGTCCCCCTTGTTATGTTGTTTCTGTCTGTGTCGTAATTAAGGCATCTTTCAAACAAATCCCTAATAAATATAGATCTAAGTGTTGGGTATGAATATGGACCAAGTGTAACACAGCTCTCGCTCTAGTCTGATACATATATGGTCTGAAAGGATCTAAATTTTAGATAGAAGAGTTTGGACTCTTCATACAACTAAATCTGTATATTGGTAATAACTAACAATAACATCAGACACCAATAGCATCAGACACCAATAGCATCAGACACCAATAGCATCAGACACTTAGATCCATAACAACTATACTCAGCAAGCTCTAAGTTACTTGTTAGTTTAGTCAATGACAAAGAAGACAGCGTGATCTATAAATCCACATTAAGAAAGCAAATCATTTTTCTGAACCAACCATAAATTGCTATCAACTTCTAGAAATCATTGAAGATAAGATGGTAATATAGTTTCTGAGGCAACTTACAGGTAATGCTTGAAGAGTGAAAAGAGCATGTCCAAGGAAGAGCGCATCTAAATGTGATGGCCTACCAAAAATTTCAAGTAGTTGTGTATTAACATCATGAACTTAAATGTCAAACAGTTTAGGGAAACAATGCAAAAGGTACTCTTGCAAACAGCTTTTTAATAAAAAGAAAAGGGTATAAATAGGTACTACCTATTCTCGAAGAGGAAATCCTGCTCTCCTAACCTAGTTGACAGTGCGTCATATGCCATCTTTGCCCTCTTGTAAATCTGCAAAACAAAGTATACCCTGAAAATTTTTAATACTTGAAAATACCAAGTGAGAAAGAAATTAGATGCAACATACATACACAGATTCATGCATCTACATAGATTTCTATTATGTACAATCCTCAACTGCCTGCACTTCATAAAAGAGCAAAACTAAGCACTACCTGTTCTTCCCTCCACTGGGCATTGTCTTTAGTTATCCCAAGACGCTGCTTCACACTATATAATTGCTTTAAGAACAGAAACTTCCTTATGGGCCATGGGAGATCAGAATAATAAATCTTGTAAGCCACACTCGCATCAGAACCTAGCCACAGTTCATATGTGATTGCATTAGCGAGCCAAGAACTGATCATGGCTTTTGCTGATAGCCACTCTGGCACTGACTGGAATTCAGAATCAAGATCAACAACACCATCGTGCTTTAAACGTTCAATAACTCCATCATTCTCGTTATTGTAGGCCACATAAGCACCATATTCAACATAAGGGATTTGATCTGTAAAAAAAAAAAAAAATGCAATGATATAATCACATTATTATATTTATTAACCTAAAACATAGATATGAGCAAAGATTTATGACACAATGACTAGTCTGATCAAACAAAATAAAGGATTAGTAGGCTATTAATTCATGACCACCAGCAGTATCCCACAACCTCTTGCACAAAGCTTGAAACTTCTTGAACTAACAAAGAAGCATACAGAAGTAGTGAAATTCTCTATAATGTATTGTATAATTATGAAGTAGATGAGGAAATGAAGATTACTAAACTGGCAAAAGAAGAAAACAGTACCATTACTCATAAACCAGAAAATAGCTCAAAAAAAAAAAAAAAATACAACTTCTCTTACTGATTCAACTTGGAACTGATCAATTCTGTTAAAAGGAAGATTATAAACTAAAGAGAACATGCAAATTAACAAATGAAGCATACAACAAAGTCATTCAAAGTGGAATAAAAAAATCAAAAAAAAAAAATTAAATACCCAGAACAAAATTTTTTAAACAGAGATCAAACGTAAGAACCATCCCATTAATGCATTCAAAATAAATAAACCCCAAAAAGTGAGAGAATGGAAGTCAGCTTAGAATTTGAAGAGAACTGAACCTGAATCAGGGTAGATGGAATTGAATTCCAAGGTAAAGGGAATCCGAGCGAGCTTGAGATAAATGTAGACAGGCAAGCAGATTGGACAAGCTGTTGGGAGGTCAAAGCAGGGTTTTCGTGCCACCAGCGTGAGCTCTTCTCTCTCTTGCGATTGCTCCATCTCCTTAGCTATCTATTGCTTGCAGGTGGTAAATTACAGTGAGAAAGCTTGTTCCTTTATCGAATTTGGATAAATAAGAGTTAATATCAGGTGGACGAACATGGGTGCTTCAATTCTCAGGTGGAAGGGTTTTTGAGAAAGCAGGACACTGGGGGGGTTTTGAATTTTTTTTTCTTAATTTGTTTTTTTTTTTTTTTTAAAATTGTGGTTTTGGGATTAAATATGGATTTTGGGCCACGTTTACATGGAAAAACTGATACCCATTTAGGCATTTAGTGGCCGTTAGCCTCAGTTTCTGTTCAGAAATTTCTAATCAAATACAGTTTTTTTTTTTTTGGCGGTCATCAAATGCAATTCTTCTAAAAAAAACATTCTATTAAGGAACATCAACTCCAATTTCTTTGACAGAGTACACTGTAATTGCAGCCTGAAATGCACCACACGTATTGAAGTCTAAAATGTATTAGTTTATAGATATATTAGTTATTGGATAAAGGGATTAGCACCTATAACTAAAGAACCCACATAATCTAATGATTAATATTTAGTTGTTTGAACTACAAAACACTTTTATTCTCGATAATTGCCATTTAAACAAGATTCTTGAAACCATATTTGACATTAGGAACATCAAGCTGCTAGATTTTACATACAAATAACAAAGTATGAGAACAAAGATTTAGCTGTGATCTTCAAACATTCATCTTCCCATTGAACCAACAAATATAAGTATCCAAATTGGCAGTAGTAAGAAAAACCATGCTTCACATGGGATTTGATTCAGCTGACCTCTCATCAGCTCCTGATAGCAGTAGCAACAACAAATGAGAAATGACTAGCTCCCCAAAAGAACAAGAAAAATATAAATAGTTAGGAGTTTGGCATGACCTGTCAATAAAAAATGTATGGATTACAACAATGACTGTTACAATGTAGCCTTCAAAACCGGGCCTTTCGTTTTCGGCCTGTGTACTTTGTATCAGGAGGCACAGTATTTCCTTTCCTCCTCATCTGTTCCTTCTTCCTCAGTATCCACTCTCGGCCCTTTCCTTTCTTGTTTGTTTTCTGCTTTTTCCTAGGCCTGTGCCTGTCCGAGATTGAAACCTGCATCACCAAAGGAAAAGGAGGATTAAGTTTAAAGCTGAATACAACAGTCACTAATGGTCATTGGTGCCCCTACTACCATGGATCATCTTTTCTTTTCTTTTCTTTCTATCTTTTTCTCTCTTTTTTTATGGGGTGAGGTATGGAATTTAGCAGAGCAAAATTTATTAAATCCACTCACTATGGTCACAGATCAGAAACAGCACTTGCAACTAAACATGAATAAGGGATGTCTTTTGACAAAAAAGAAGAAGAAGAAGAAGAAGAAGAAGAAGAAGAAGAAAAGATGTGACCAGAAAACTGCAAGAAAATATATTATATGATAGCTCACCGTCTGATTTTCTTCATCTCCACTGCTCTCATCATCAGAGCAGCTCTCACCTTCTTCACCTTTTCCCTTAGGAACAGCTGTGCTTATGGATGGTGGACCACAAGTGAGGACAATGTATTCCTTTCTTTTCTTGGTGCTGTTGGGAAACAATTATCCCAAAGTCAAAATTTGGCCAAACAGAAAAGGCAGCAGGACAATACACCACTTTCACCAATTTAAGAGAACATTAAGGCAAGTCTGCTAATAAATGTGCAAGCCTTTTTTACCGTCCAGATTCAAGAGAACATTAAGGTCTAGACGAATAGAATTCTCAACTTAAGTAGACCTATCTTACCTATGTGGAAAGTCAACAACCACTCCACCAGCGAATCCAGCACGCATTGCATAACTCAAAATTAGCTCGCGCTGAGCTAGATTTTCAGGATACACTTGGAATGCTGCTCTTGCTCCCCTTGCTAAGCATTTGTATAATGATCCAAAGAAAGCCCTGCAGAAACATAAAAAACAATAAAATTGCCTCATGCATACTTCAGAAGAAGAGTGATGCTCCAAAATAGGGAAGAGATTAATTCGAGGTCTATATGCGAACAAACAAGAGTATAAGTACATTCATGCATGCATACACTTAAGCTTATGACATAAGGAAGAGGATCACTACATACTTCAATCTTAATCTTGGCTCATGGGAGGACTTGTCAGCATTGCATAACCACTGCTTGCCAAAAAAAGCAGAGACAAAGAACAGTGAGCAGAAGCGTATAGCACACAATTCTTAATGGAAATGTGAGCCAGCAGCAAACCTGAATAGCTGAGATACTTATAGCACCATCAATAACACCAGGTCGAAGTCCTAATCCCTGAAATGTTTATATAAACAATTGCAACCATCAGGAAACCCAAAATAAAAAAGAAGAAGGAGAAGAAGAAGAAGAAGAAGAAGAAGAAGAAGAAGAAAGAGAGCAATACACTGACTTAATGTACTTGATCAGGTGCATTATTATCATAATAACATCAAGCAAACACTTCCATAATAGAGACTCCAATAAAGCTTTTTTTGGAGGATAACTTCAAAATAAAAAAGGAGAGAGTTTAAATATCCAAAATCTACAGGACATCAAGATTCAACATGAATGATGATGCCCAAAGGATCAACTATCACTAAATTGTTAAAAACTTCAGTTTCAGTGTAGACTGCAGTGGTCAAGATTGAAGAAATTTTTTATGATCAAGACAATATCTAAGGGTTATAAGAATACTTAAGGATTCATCATCATATAGATAGGAATCCATCATTGTATTTTTTCATTATCTCAAGTGTTCAAAACCAACATGAGATAGAATCACACTGAATAGTGGTCTAGAATCATCCTATGGTTAACACTTGATAGTAGCATAAAACTTCCCTCTTGGTGCCAACTGCCAAGCAAAGCCCTTTCATGGCTACTCGATGCCACTGCCTCAGCATGTCATAATTTAGACTTGAACAAAGACATTCCCATTTAAATATTAAGTTAATGTCACTACTAATTTAAAATAGTAACTGGCTAAAAAGGAGAATAAGGATTTGATAAGTTCCTGTTCATTTCAAACTAAATACATCTTTTAAAGTAGTAGCAAACAAAAGGGCCAATAACAAGAGATGTAACTTGTAAGCAATTCAAATTAAAAGTTTAGTTCCAAGATATACCTGACCCATATCACCAAGTATCAGATCGCCCTCAACTTCCCGCTCCAATGCAATATCTAGAATCAGAGAAACATAAATAAAAATAATGTAGGAATAACAATAACAAATGAACCCCTGATAAACTATTCAACTCCACAGACTTTCAATGAGGGCATACCCAGCATTGACTGCGAAATGTCTAAACCAATCCACTGGTGTCCATTCTCAGTTAGTGTCTCCCCACTAAGCCCGGAACCGCATCCTGAGAATAAAAAAGGCAAAAGGCACAAGCTTTGAAGTTTAGTGACACTACAAATCCGTGCTCAAACGATCAATCTAATAATAATTTGGTTTAAGCACACATGAGGCTATAACCATAATACCAATATCAAGGAGCAATCTGGGGACTCCATCATCGGGCAAAGCAAGAAGCTCCACTGCTCTCTCTGAAAGTTTCGCCTATACAACACGTTAACAGTTTTAATTTAGCAGAATTTACAGTCAAAACAAAAGAAATACAGAAATTAACTAAAAATTAGAGCTCAAATAGCTTTAAAAAAGAGCGGAAATCAAAAAAAATGTGAAAGAGGAAAAAAAAAAAAACCTGAATTTCGACGATACGAGAAGAGGAAGTGTATTTTCGAGCCTCTGTGTCGTCGTAGAATATCTCAGGCGGTGCCTGTAACTCCGGCCGACTCGACATCTCCCTAACTCAGCTAATTTCTCCACCAAAATCAAACTCTTCGAATGGAGTTTGGACAAGAGCAGCAACAGATTGAGGAGCTGCAACCGTCGGTGATTGAGGAAGAAGGAAAGAAGAGATTCCGAGGATTCAGGTGACGTTGCGCCGCCACCACCACCACCGCACCGTCTCTCTGAAGAGGGTAAGACAAAAAAAATAGAGAGCACAAGAATTAAGAAAGGGTTTTGCAATTCTTGGGTTTATGGGCCAAACGCAAACAGGGCTTTGGCAGTTGGGCTTCAAAAAGAGGGACAAATTAGTCATTTCCAATAAACCCCCCTAGGGTTTCCACGGGATTTACTTCCCGTATAAATTAAACACAAGGCAGCGTGGTGGCTGTCTCTGCATCATTTCTCGCCTGAAGCCTCGTCTCTGTGCTTCTGAATTAGGGTTTTTCTTTGATTCAAACAATGGGTGTATTCACATTCGTCTGCAAGAGCAAGGGCGGAGAGTGGACCGCGAAGCAATACGAAGGTGAGTTGGAGGCCTCTGCCTCCTCCACCTACGAGCTCCAAAGGAAGCTCGTTCAGACCGCTCTCGCCAGCGACTGTTCCGGTGGTGTTAACTCCTCCTTCTCTCTCATCACCCCCACTTCCGCCGTTTGCCAGGTATTTTCCTTTTCCTTTTCCTTTTTCCCGTTTGATTTTATAGAAAACTTCAATGATCTGTTTAGACAGGACGAATCGGAAATGTTTTCAAATTACTTTATGCAGATTGCAATCAGTTTTCTACTTGTAATTGAAACTAATCTTTTATTGAAATTCTACAGTCAGTTTGTTTAAAAGAATATTTTGTTACAGATTGCTTCCATGCTTGATGCTTCCGTGCTTGATCAGTGTTGTGGAGTTTTAAACTATTGAATTTATTGGATACCATACCATATTGTTTTTAAGTCAGATATGGAAAACATGTGAAGTTGCATTTGTGTTTAGATCATGATATTAGCCTGCATGAGAGATTCAGTTTTCAGGGTTTCGTCGATCAGATTTTCTTGTTCTGCGTAGCCTGGGATTTGTTATCAATTTTTGTGAATCTTAATTAAGTGCTAACCACATATTGTGGATTGTGATTTTTAGACAACCCGCTGATTTCTATCCTAGTTTGTTTCTTGACAGTTGTACAAGTAGTTCGCTGTTATGAGACTAGTTGAAATTGTTAAATGATACTGATGTGACCAATTGGCATCCTTTGGAGTCAAAGCCTGGTCTCCGTTATAGATGATTTGGGTTTTGCCTAATTCCATAATCTTAGTTGGTTTTGTATTTGTCATGACATGTGTTAGACCAATATAAGAGTAGAGCTAGACAACTTGCAGATAATGGTGGTGGTGGTGGTGGTTTTCTTTTCTAATGTTGTGAAGTTTTGCATTGAGCAGGTGATTATTGGTGCGGTTGGTGGTGGTTCTTTTGTCGGAGGTGGAGCAGCTGCTTCTTCTGGTGGAGGCGCACCTGCTGCTGCTGCTGCTGCTGAAGAACCAAAGGTTGAGGAGAAGAAGGAAGAGAAGGAAGAGAGCGATGATGATATGGGATTCTCACTCTTCGATTAAGTTCACTCAATTTCTTTTACCATGTTAGATGTTGGTCTTGTTTTTGAGCTGTTATGTGGTGTTTCCAAAACTGGTGATTTTGTTCGACTCTTTTTCTTATAAGAATCTATGTTTAAACTTAGTGAATATCCTTGTTCAGTGTCATGCCTTGTCTGCAATTGAATTATTGCTTGACGATCTCAGGATGCAAGAACTTTTGCACCCTAACTTAGGTTCTTTTTTTCTTTTTTTCTTTTTTTGTGGTAAATGCAACTAAGCAACAATCAATGTGTGATTCATACAACCTACCCTTCCTTTCCTTCCTAAATTCTAATGAAACAAACCAATAATCAATATAATTCTTTTCTAATTGTCACAAAAGTTCTTTGCAAACATTTTAGTTAATGTTTTAATTTTTAAAAGTTAGTCATCTAGATTAAATAAAGCATTAAGAAAAATTGGAGATAAAATTGGAGTTTGTCGATCTCCTTCAGTAATCTTATCACTATCCTTTTACTCACCCTCTGTACTCAAAAAAACAAAACAGAAACTTCTTAATAGGCTCTAATTTTGATTTAATTATTAAAAGCAGTTATATCTAATATGTTAATAACATTTACTCAACCGAACATACTTAACTTGCTAATGATCAAAGCTCAAACGAACTAACAACATGTTAATTCGAATGAAATGAGATCAGTTTTTTTTAAATAAAGTTTCGAATTTAAGTATTGTACAAAAAAAAATAAGAGTTAGAAAAGTTTTACTTTATGATATTCAACGATCAATATTATTATTAAGAGGTTAATAAAAAAAAAAATAAAACTCAAACCAAGCCGAAGCCTGTATTAAACATTTTGAGCCGGACACAAGTTCAGAGAAATTCAGCGCAAAGCTAATGAGCTGAGAACAAAGCAACGGATGTGATTCGATTTCTCGAGATCTAACGGCTTTGGACTCGCACGAGTTTGTCGAGCTCACGAATCACGATTGCTAAAATAACACAGCACTCACTTAAAAGCAGGTTTCGCGCGGTGAGCACTTCCACTCCGACGCCGTCCCATAAAACCCTAAACCTTCCTTCTCCTCCTCTTCTCTATTTTCCAGCGCAGTACCGGTAATGGCGGAGCTAAAAATCTCCGAGAGCCGAGACCTGACTCGAATTGAGCGCATAGGGGCTCACTCTCATATCCGGGGTCTGGGTTTGGACTCCGCCCTAGAGCCCCGCGACGTCTCTGAGGGTATGGTGGGGCAGACCCAGGCTCGCAAGGCCGCCGGCGTCATTCTCCAGATGATCAAGGAAGGCAAGATTGCCGGGCGGGCTATTCTGCTGGCTGGACAGCCCGGGACAGGTAAGACTGCTATCGCCATGGGCATGGCCAAGTCACTCGGGCTCGAGACCCCCTTTTCCATGCTCTCCGGCAGCGAACTCTTCTCCCTCGAAATGTCCAAAACCGAAGCTTTAATGCAAGCATTCCGGAAGTCTATTGGGGTCAGAATCAAGGAAGAGACCGAGGTAATCGAAGGGGAGGTCGTCGAAATCCATATTGACCGACCTGCGGTTACTGGTGCAGCATCAAAGACGGGGAAATTGACTCTGAAGACGACGGATATGGAGACGATATACGATTTGGGGGCCAAGATGATTGAGGCTCTGGGGAAGGAGAAGGTGCAGAGTGGGGATGTGATAGCTATTGATAAGGCATCGGGCAAGATTACCAAGCTAGGACGCTCCTTTTCGCGGTCAAGGGATTATGATGCAATGGGTCCGCAGACTAAGTTCGTGCAATGCCCTGATGGTGAGCTGCAGAAGCGGAAGGAGGTTGTGCATTGTGTCACCCTTCATGAGATTGATGTGATCAATAGCAGGTAATGGTCTTTGGAATATTGAGCTTGAAATTCATGTGTTGTTTTCTTTGTATAAATTATGAATTGAGTAGCTTTAGTTTTGCTTCAAGTAAGTATATTTAATTTCTTGTTCAGTTATACAAAGCTTTAGTCTTTCAGTATATGAGTGAATTGTAGATGCTGCTTTAAGGATTTAGGTTGAGGTCTTTTTTTTTTTTTTAATTCTATTTATGGTAAGTAATTCCTGGGATAAATGAAAATGAGTTGAGGTCAGTCTATCCTTCTGTCTGAATTATGCTTGACAAGCCATTTTTAAACAGCTCTGAGCCACAAAAGCATTGCCCTGTGTGTTAAAAAGAAGTTGTGGGATTTTTTTGCCAATGCGATGTTGGCCAATGTACTATAGTTATAGTTATTTGCCTGACGTAAAACGATGTCTTGTTTTCAAAATGATAAATCACACAAGCTAATTGTCACTGGCTTTGCTGCTGCTTCAGACACAACTTTTGTGAAATTTCTATGAGCCCAAAGTATGTGATAGAAATTTTTTTTTGATTGGCAAAGGAAGTCAGTGCTTAGCATTGTAGAGAATCAAGGTTTTGATGTTGCTTGGTGGACACCAAGTTGGCTAGGCTCTTTTTGGTGAAGTATGTGATTGAATTATTTTCATAATGCTATCTCTTGTCATGATTTTCACACAAATCATATTAACTTGCGACCCATGTAGACACCTTATGCATAAAAGCAAGCAATAAGATGGGTAGTCTTTTGTTGATCTAATTTTATTTTTCTGTTAAGGAGTAAAGACTTTGATAAGCTATTCAAATGTTTCTTCTAGTAATTATCTCAAAGAAAAAAATCTTTAGTAGTTCACACATACTGAACAGTTTGCATACATAGCTATCTTTGCCAATCTCCCTCATTTTGCAGCCTTTTTAGACATATGGACCTCGAGGAGGAATTACTTTATTGTACTCTATATTTTCATTTAACTTAGCATTGATACATTATACCTGCAGGATTGTCTGCTCATTTTATCTTCTAACACTGATAATTTTATGATTCAATTTTAGAACCCAGGGATTTCTTGCTCTCTTCACTGGTGATACTGGTGAAATTCGTGCTGAGGTGAGGGAGCAAATTGACACAAAGGTGGCAGAATGGAGGGAGGAAGGGAAAGCAGAAATAGTCCCAGGAGTCCTCTTCATTGATGAAGTACACATGCTTGACATAGAATGTTTTTCATTCCTAAATCGTGCTCTTGAGAATGAGATGGCCCCAATATTAGTTGTTGCAACCAACCGAGGAATCACTACAATCCGAGGCACAAATTACAAATCCCCACATGGGATTCCAATTGATCTTCTTGATCGCCTACTCATAATCACTACTCAACCATATACTATTGATGAGATTCGCAAGATTGTAGACATCAGATCCCAAGAGGAAGATGTTGAGATGTCTGAAGATGCAAAAGAGTTGTTGACAAAAATTGGACACGAGACATCCTTGAGATATGCCATCAATCTTATCACAGCTGCTGCATTGAATTGCCAGAAGCGGAAGGGAAGGATTGTGGAAGTGCAGGATATTACTCGTGTTTACAATCTTTTCCTAGATGTCAGGAGATCAACACAGTATTTGATGGAGTATCAGAATGAGTACATGTTCAATGAAGTTGGAATGGCCGATGGTGGTGAAGATGGTATTGATGCAATGCATGATTAAAGTTCTTTTCCCAGGTCGAAGAATTTGCAACTATGTCTTCCTCTGTTAACAACTATTGCGTATTGTAAGATTCGTTAGTGCACCATTTCACCTATGCTAAACAGGTTCTTGGACTAATTTTATTTTGGTAGGATGAATTTGTATCTTAAGTACACATATTGAGGATTGTGTTTCTGGTAAACATCAACGGCTTGTTTGGATGGAAGGAAATAACGGAAATGGAAAAAAATAGTAATGAAAGGGGCTGACTCCAATTAAATAAAAGAAAATCATTTAATTGGAGGAAATTTCCTTCCTTAAAACACTGTAAAAATGAAATGGGGGAAAGAAAGACAAGCTATTTTCCGTTGTGATGGCTGAAGGGTAGTTTCTTTTTTTTCTGGTGAATTGAAAATTAAGAAAAGCATTGGTACAAACACTGTATAGGTTTGAACGGTTGTTCAGCACCTTGTAGGTTAGTGGCTACTCTCCTTTGGAGAAGGTGCATTGGACACCAATGTCCTGGGTTTAATTCCCAGATACAGCATCCCCCACCACAAAAAACTGAAAAATTCCTCCTAGGTTGGGGGTTATCCAGCCTGAAGATGGCGTCAGGCAGAATTGAGGCGGACAATGCTGGGGGCAAGCGAATGGCATAGCCAGATGGGTTCCACCTTTCCAGCAACACGAGTGGACAACATTCTGGCTACCGTAGGCGAAGGTATAAGAAAAAATTGTTTCTTCGGTATGTAATTTAATAAAAAATTGTTTTATAATTTAAATTATTTTAAATTATAAAATAATAACTTTAAATGAAGAATGAGTTTTTGATATTAAAATCAACCTTCGTTTAAAAAATTTTTATTTTATAGTTTAAAACAATTTAAATTGTTAAATATCACCGATGATTTAAGTAACTCAATAGTTATTTCTTTTTGTTCAAAATAAGAATTTTTAAATTCGAGTTGTATGATATATGAGTTGAATAAAATAAAAAATGTGAGATAATTACTTCTAGGTGTATAATTAAAAAAAAAAAAAAACAAAACCTGTTAAATATCGGACTTATGATGAGAGTACTGTAATACCCTCAAAGGATCCAGTAGAATTAAAGAATATTCCTTCAAGAGGAAAGGGAAATCTTTTGTGCTTTGGCTTCACCACTGTTGTCAAACCCTGGAGCGCTGGAACATAAAATTACCATACAAGCAGATTAGATATCCATGTAAATAGTGGTAACCAAAATGAATAAGCATAATAATTGAAGCACTTGCGACCTTAGCCACGATGGAAGCGCACCAACATTTTTGGTTTTTTTGTCAAGGGTTTAAGTTACCAGTGCAGCAGTAGTGTAATTATTTTTTCATCTCTCTATTTTCCACTGGTCAGAAAAAAAAATCATAATAATTGAAATTAATCTCACTTCCTGAGTCAAGTGGCTTTAGTTATTCTTGTAAGGTTTATATTTCTCTTCCCAAGAGCATCGATTCGAGCTGATTTTATGACTAAATGTTTTTTAAAAAAAGAATAATAATTGAAATTCTTTTATTAAATGAAACTAATTAATGTTTGTAATTGTGATTAACTCTTTATCTTATTAGGGTTGTATAAATAGATTTACTTGATTATTACGTAGATATTATAGTCTTAATGAGTAATTTAATTAATTAAAAGATTGAAATTTAAAAAATAAAAGAGCTATTTTTTTATATAATGAATCATTAAATGTATATATAATAGAATAAAATTATAAACACCAACCTCATATTTTATTATTAAATTGAGAAATAAATTTTAAAAACTCAATTTTATCATTTAAATTATATCAGATAATAAAATAAAAATTATTAAATAATAAAAATTACTTTCAATATTCAAAAATTTAGTCTCTATCTAATAATTAATGTTATATAACCTTATATAATCCACACTACATAATATTTTTTGGTTAAAACCTCATTTTGGTCCTTGAATTATTGTATGAACCTTCAATTTGATTATTAAACTTAACAAATCCCTGATTTGATCCTTACTGTTTACCATTTTTACCTTGATTTGGCCTTCCATTAAAAATCTAATGACGAGGCCTATTATTTCACTGTTACAAGATGACATGTCAAATATTAATACACGTGGAAGACAATAGGACAAAAAGTGATGACATGAAAAAATAATAATATAAAAAAGTTAAATAAAGAATTAAAAAGTAAATTTCCCTTTTTTTTTCTTTTTCTTTTT